CCACCAAAAAAAAAAAAAAAAAAAAAAAAAAAACACACCAGAACCAATTAACGCCATTTTGTCACAAAATACACTTAAGTGACCACCGGAGGGCGCTCAGGGGCGGGTCCACCGATGGTCTGCTTACCATAGATTGATAATCACTACTTGAGAACTTTTTTTCCCACTCAAAAAAAAAAAAAATTTTAAGGCTCCGAAATTAAAGAAAAAAATTTTTTCCCTCTTCGTAAGAAGAAAAAAAAAAAAAAGCGAAAAATTTAAAACAAAAAAAAAAATCCGAGATCAGCTCACCTTCATGTCGCCACCGACGTCGTTCTCCTGCATCTGACAACGGAACTCGGAACTTCTCCTTTTTTTATAGTAAAGTCCGGAAGGTTAGCGGTTATTGCAAATCCTTGGGCGTAGCTAGGCTATTGCGCAATTTCCTCTTTTTAGGCTGTGACTGTCACGTCCAGTTCAAAAGTTCAACAAGGAACGACGCTAACGTTTCCTGAGGAGTTCACAGACACGCACTTTCAGTACTGCGTCGGTTACTTCGATTTAGTTCGGAAAACTTTTTTTTGACCGACAGTGGATTTAGTTTAAATATTATCGCAACACCGAACCTCCGGTGTTTACCGACAGAACCGGACACGTCGACGTCGATCGTCAGACGGTCGCACAAAATTGTAAAGTGTAAATTGCGCAATAGCCTAGCTACGTCCACGATTTGCATAATAGCCGCTAACCGCTAATGTCCGGACTTTACTGTATGAAGGAGAAAGTTTCACGTTTTCACTGCGTTGATTAACGCTAAGGAATCTGGTCGGTACGATATATATACGCATCGCGATACGATATATATATATATATATATATTGCGATATTTTCTGTAAGAAAAGACGACACGTCTGTAAATTCCGAATCTCAGATTCTGTTTCAAAAAATTTCTGGACGTCTGTAATTACGAGAAAATAAAAGTAAATTACGAAAAGAAAAAAATTTCTGGACGTCTGTAATTACGAGAAAAAAAAAGTAAATTACGAAAAGAAAAAAATTTCTGGACGTCTGTAATTACGAGAAAAAAAAAGTAAATTACGAAAAAAAAATTCTGGACGTCTGTAATCACGAAAAAAAAAGTAAATTATGAAAAAAAAAAATTCTGTACATCTGTAATTATGAAAAAAAAATTCTGTACGTCTGTAATTACGAAAAAAAAAGTAAATCATGAAAGAAGAAAAAAATCTGTACGTCTGTAATTACGAAAAAAAGGGAAATTACGAAAAAAAAAATTCTGGACATCTAATTACGAAAAAAAAAGTAAATCATGAAAGAAGAAAAAAATCTGTACGTCTATAATTACGAAAAAAAGGGAAATTACGAAAAAAAAATTTCTGGACGTCTGTAATTACGAGAAAAAAAAAAAAAAATAAATACGAAAAAAAAAAAAAAAAATTAAAAAAAAAAAAAAAAATAATTACGAAAAAAAAAATTATAAAATAAAATTTTGGGGGCCTAATTTAGAGAAAAAAAAAAAAAAGAGAAAAAAAAAAAAAAACTAATTACGAAAAAAAAAAAAAAAAAAAAGTAAAGACGTTTGCCGTCAGACAACGGTTTCAAACCATCAACCACCACCGGGGGCCTCGCTGTATTTACTGTTCACTACTATGCATGCATGAAATTCCAACCCCCCCCCCCCCCCCCCCCCCCCCTCCCCCCTCCCTACTCTCCACACAACCACCTCGAC